TACCTTTTTTCTCAATTCCAGAACAAAGTATATCCTATTCAGTAACAAATATAATTTAGAAAGCATTTTCAAACAATGAAATCATGCTTCTTAACCACTTTACCTAGTGCCACACACTGAGCTAAACAACTAAAAAAAAAAAAAAAAAGATTAATTCTCATGGAAATTCTACGAGGTGTTAATACTGACATTTTCACTTTGCTTATAGATATGGAAACTGGGGCTTAACAAATTCTGCCAGTATACATACTGTATGTGGTAAAATTAAATGGAACAATGAGTAGTTGAATGTAACCATAATTAGTCTCAGGAGTGAGCTCTCCCCAAAGCTAGAAACCATAGGAAGAGAGGGCTCATCTGCAGAATATTAGCAGACTTCACGATGACGGCTGTGGCACCCCTAAGAAAGAATAACTGTTGCCTACTATTTCTATCTTTGAAGTGATTTATAAAATAAACATTTGCAATTTAGTCTGTGTTGTACAACGGTGTCCCACGTGTAGAATTACAAGCCTTTGCCCTCACCTCTACTATTAACAGAAGCTTTTTCAATACTTGTGACTGGTCAATTCATCTTTGTATATTTCCCCCAGACTTTGATTGATTGTTGAATAAAAAATATCAAGAGGAGCTGGGTGTGGTGGTATAAGCCTATGCTCACAACTCTAGGCTAAGGCAAAATGAGGGTTCAAGGCTAGCCTGGGCTACATGTCTAATCCTATTACAAAGAAAAAGAAGGTGCTGGAAACTCAAGAAAGTTACCATTAATGGGGCATCATACACCAGGTACTCTACTCAACAGGTTTGCACACATTCATTTAGTCTTCACAACCCTGAGCTGAAAACAAACATTTTATTCATTCTGCAGGCATGGACCCTCACACTCAGAACAAAGTTAAGTAACTCCACTAAAACCACAGTCGATTTTGAAAGCAAGTCTCTCTTGGTCACTCTTGGAAGTCATAATGGTATGGCGGCTAGGGTATGACTCCCCTCCCTTTAAAAAAATGTAATTTAGATAATATAAATCAAATAAAAATGGGGTGTGTGCGCTGTGGGAATCCATTAGCTCCTTGGCTGGGGTCAAGGGGCCACAAGGGCAGTGCCCCTGAAAAGTATGTGCTTTGAACATATGCATATATTCTTAGGGGAATAAGAGTTGTGTTATGCTGTATACGCTATGCGTTTTGTTTAGTATAGTGTTGAGTAGTCTCCAGGCACTACACAATTGCTCAACATTATTTCCTTTCAGCACGTTTGCAAGGAGATGGATGACAGGGCGGGGTCTGCCCTGGGGTGATGTGTGTGATCATGCAACTGGAGCTGGTTGGTATTGGGCTGTGCTTAATGGGAGGTGTCCACTGGGATGGGTGTTGAGGATGTGGCATGGAGGTGCCATTTGAGATTGGGGAAAAGGTTATGTTAGATGATTTATGCAATGCATATTAGAGTTGCGGCATTGGAAAAAGAACATTGTGCAGCACCTCACATGTGCACTGTGAGTGAGTGTGTGTGTGTGTGTGTGTGTGTGTGTCAAAACTGAACACCAGAGGAGTTCCTTGGCAATCTAGTTGCATACCAGGCCAGCGTATGGTGCGTTTTATGTGTGTAGTTTGCCCTGAGAGC